TCTGAGCTGCAGAACCCTGAGCTGCAGAACACTGAGCTGCAGAACCCTGAGCTCAGAGCTGCAGAACCCTGAGCTCAGAGCTGCAGAACACTGAGCTGCAGAACCCTGAGCTGCAGAACCCTGAGCTCAGAGCTGCAGAACCCTGAGCTGAGAGCTGCAGAACCCTGAGCTCAGAGCTGCAGAACCCTGAGCTGAGAGCTGCAGAACCCTGAGCTCAGGGCTGCAGAACTCTGAGCTGCAGAACTCAGAGCTGCAGAACCCTGAGCTGAGAGCTGCAGAACCCTGAGCTCAGAGCTGCAGAACCCTGAGCTGCAGAACCCTGAGCTGCAGAACCCTGAGCTAGCCTCTCTGATGCTAACACAAATGAATGATCTCATTTCCCAGCTCCGGCCTCTCAGTTAGCGGTTCTGAGCTCAGGGTTCTGCAGCTCAGAACATGGACCTGACCCAACAGAAGGATCCAGCTGGCGGTGTCGGGTTACCTTGTCGTTCTCGGTGCTGATCTGGATGGCGTTGGGGATGAGCTTGGCCGTCTTCTCCTTGGTCATGGAGGTGACGTCTTTCAGCAGGATGGTGATCTGCACAGACAGGGATTAGGAGGGAGCGCCGCTCTACACTGAGGGGAAACCTGGACCCGGCGGGACTCACCGTGGTCTCCCAGCGGAAGATGTTGCTGTAGAAACACAACCAGTTCTCCGACAGATAGAGGCGACCCTGAAGCAGGATGTCCTTCTGCAGCGCGCAGGAGTAATCTGAGAAACAAAAACAAGGAAGAGAGAGCAGGTCATCTGACAGGCAGGCACCTGGAATCATCTCAGCTCCTCTTTAAAGCTGATAAAGTCATAATAAAAGAGTTTATAACAGAAGAGGACGTGCAGACTCAACAAGATCCAGATTACAGGTCTGCAAATCTGACCTGACATTCACAGAGTTCTCTGCAGTAAAAAGACCTCACAAGCCTTCAGATGATACAAATACTTTTATTCTGGTGAAATCTGAAGAAACTGAACAGACCTTTCATCAGCTTTAGGTTATTTTATAATGAGAAGAGACTGAGGTAATGTTCTGAGTGACTCTCAGCTTCACCAACAAACTTCAGTCTAATATCTGTAAAACTTTACAAACAAAATCTGATGGCTGTCAGCCTTTGTAATTTAGCTGCAGAGAGTACGGAAACAAAGAGGAAACTACAGAAATGAAGGAACGAGAGATTCAATCGTCCCTGATCATGAGAATCCTTTAGACACAAACAGATTCAAGCAGAAATCACTATGAATCACTTTGAATCAAATCATTCTGAATCAAATCATTCTAATCAAATCATTTGAATCAAATCACTCTGAATCAAATCATTTGAATCAAATCATTCTGAATCAAATCACTTGAATCAAATCATTCTGAATCAAATCATTTGAATCAAATCACTCTGAATCAAATCATTCTGAATCAAATCACTCTGAATCAAATCATTCTGAATCAAATCATTTGAATCAAATCACTCTGAATCAAATCATTTGAAATCATTCTGAATCAAATCACTTGAATCAAATCATTCTGAATCAAATCACTTGAATCAAATCATTCTGAATCAAATCATTTGAATCAAATCATTCTGAATCAAATCATTCTGAATCAAATCATTTGAATCAAATCATTCTGAATCAAATCATTCTGAATCAAATCATTTGAATCAAATCTTTTGAATCAAATCATTCTGAATCAAATCATTTGAATCAATATTTGATTCAAACATCTGTGAATCAAATAATTATAAATCAATTCATTATGAATGAAGTTATGAATCAAATCATTCTGAATCAAATCACTATGAATCAAATCACTATGAATCAAATCATCTGAATCAATATTTGAATCGAACAACTGTGAATCAAATTATTATAAACCAATTCATTATGAATGAAATCATGAATGAAATCGTTTTGAATCAATTCATTATGAATCAAATCATGAATCAAATCCTTTAGAATCTAATCCTGGCTCAGTAATCAGAACTGAATCATGCAGAAAGGTTCTCGTCACTCACCTACGATGAGTCGCTCTGAGTCGGGGAGTTTCTTAAAGATTTTACGAAAATCTTCATTTCGTTGTTTGTACGTGGGACTGAGAACCTGAGAGGAAAGGCCGACTCAGAGGTTATTTTACTCAACAACAAATAAAAAAAAACAGAACTGTGTTAAAATGTACTTACATTGTACCAACTCTGCACTTTCTGCAAAGAACAAACTTTTATCAGTAAAGAAACTGACAGGAACAGATTTCAAACAGGAAAGATGAAGTTTCCACAGACAAACCGCTGAGGATGTGGCAAATCTGATGTCCTTTACTTCCTGTTTTAATTTAACGAATTTCTTACACAGCTAACATTAAAAAGCTGACAAAAAAAACAACAACTTTAAACTTAATTCAAAATCACAGATTCTTCATTAAAATTTAAAAATGGAGGGATGTGGTAAATGTTTGCTAAAAAAACAAGCCTAAAAAATGTTTTAAAGTGAGCTGAAGCTTGGTTTCCTCTTCTGTTTACAGATTTACATGTTGATGTTCCCGTTTGTTTAAAGAGACGATTATGTTTCCAACACTTAGTGACCTCACGTCACCTGGGTTCATGGTTAAAAGACTCGTTTAAAAGGTTTGATCAGTTCTAACCAGGCACCAGGTTCAACCTGCTGACTTTATATAAACTGCTGAAAACTGGCCTCAAACAAGTCAAACTTTAAAACAAATTCAAACCAAGTGTTTTAAACTGAGCAGAGCTGCAGCTGCTGGATGTTTGTTCATCAAACACGTGATGAAAACAGAGAAAACAGACATGTTTCTGAGGTCTGACCTCAGTTTGTTCAGCATCCTGGGCTGCAGCTCTAACAAGGTGTTTACGTCACGTCCTTCACATCCTTCAGTTTTACTGAGGAGGGTTTTATCTGCTGGCTTTTATAGCTTCAAACATTGGACCTTTCTGTATTTTTACTGGAACGGAGCATAAACGTGTTGCTCAACGGCACTCAGGTTTATATGAAACACAGAGCAAAGAGCAGCTTCCTGCTAATCAGGAGCAGCAAAGCAGCAGGTCAGATGAGCAGGTTCAAAACAAACAAAAAACAAATAAATAAATAAATAAATAAATAAAGACAAGTAAATAAAAATTAATAAATACTTAAATAAATAAAATAAATAAATAAGTTAGTAGGTAAACAAGTAAACAAATAAATATAAATAAATAAAATTAAATAAAAACAAATAAATTAAATAAATAAATAAATAAATAAATAAGGGTCTGTGGACTCAGACCGGTTCTGTTCCGACACTCTGAGTCGTGACACAGGTCTAGGTCTGGGTCTTCAGACCCACAAACACCACAGTGAACAGGTGGGATTGGGTGGTCCGCCCACAGATTACATCGACCTGACGTCCCCCCGCCTCACCTTGGCGTTACGGCTGAAGTGGCGCGACGCCAGCGGGTAGGCGGACGACAGCGAGGAGGCCGAGGGTAGGGAGGGCAGGGGGCTGTCGGAACCTCCTCCTCCTCCTCCGCTGCTCTTCTCTCCTCCCCCCTCGCTCTCGCTGGCCTTGCCGCCCCCCAGGACCCTGCGCCGCAGCGAGGGGGAGCTGCCCGGGGTGCTGCGTGGAGAGTTGCTGGCCGTGCTGGAGACAAAAACAGAGGAGAAGAGACGGGTCAGGTCCAAACTGTCCTCTGAGCAGGTTCTGACCCGATGGTGGGGGGGGGGGGTCATCCAGTCATTTTATTTTAAAATAAATAATCTAAGTTAAATATATCTGCTCCAAACAGAAAACCTTGACCATGTGACTGATAACAGGACATCACTGATGACTGAACTCTGATAAATCACAGTAACTGTGTCTTTATTTATCTCTATTCAGATTCTATTCTATCTTTAGATAAATAAAACCTCAAACAGCTCAGAGGAATAAAACCTTTTTATAAAACAAAGAATAAAAGAGATGATTTATATAAATATGACAGAAAACAGCCTGATGGACTCATTATTCATGTTTGCCTGTCTGTTAGCAAAATAACTCATCAACCACTGGACAGATTTTAACAAACCAGTAACTTAATAACTCAAGATGGCCGCCACAAAGACATATTTTACTGACAAAGCGTCCCCGCCTCCTCTTGAAGCCAGCAGGAGAAGTTTGACGTGTTTTGGAACCAGAGTCTGAGCAGTATGAGGTGAAACTTTAAGCCCCGCCCACAACCTGAAAACTGTTTCATACAGCAGGTCTGCAGAGGTACCACTGAAGACCGGTCCGTTTGAAGCTGTCCAAAAACCACACATGGACCTGACCACATCCCACAGAGACATCCAAGACGTCCAGAACCAAAGACANAAAGACAGGCCTGGACCAGAACCCGATAGTCCACATGATCAGACTGTTGGATGGGATCATGTCTGACAGACGTCCATCAGTGTCTGATTAAAGTCTTTGAAGAACCCGGTCCCATCAGGTTAATGGAACAGGCTGAAATCAGAAATGTGTGTGTTCTTTTTAAATGTGTGTGTTTTCTTTAAATGTGTGTGTTCTTTTTAAATGTGTGTGTTTCTTTAAATGTGTGTGTTTCTTTAAATGTGTGTGTTTCTTTAAATGTGTGTTTCTTTAAATGTGTGTTTCTTTAAATGTGTGTGTTTCTTTAAAAGTGTGTGTTTCTTTAAATGTGTGTGTTCTCTTTAAATGTGTGTTTCTTTAAATGTGTGTTTCTTTAAATGTGTGTGACTGAAGTGTGTGTGAATGGTGTAATTAACCTGAGAGTCCATTAATGTTCTCATGTCTGAATCAAAGAGGATTACAGGAAGGATAAACGAGCTGAACCGGACCAGAACCACAGAACCCAGGAGAGAAACCAGCAGGTTGTGTTTAAAGAATCAAATCTGAGGCAGTGAAATAAAAAGGTTCAATCTGAAGCAGCAGGAGACACACAGTCAACAGAACCAGAGTAAACAGAACCAGAACCTCTCTGTTTGGGTTCACAGCAGCACAAATATTAAATGTAGTTCTTCTCAGATGACAGATAATCTGCTAATCTTCACCAGAAGAGCTCATATAATCTGCTCCTTTATGAGCCAACACCTGCAGGGAGCAAAGTCAAACACAGGCCGGGCCGGACCGGACCGGGTAAAGGGTCGGAACCAGCACTTTGAACACAACCTCCGCGCGCTAATCTGCACCTTCTCATCTCACAGGAAAAACAAACAGCTCGCTGCAGCGCAGACCGGGTCCGGTCCGGTCCGGTTCGGACACTCACTCGAACATGACATGAGGTGGTTCTAATCCAGCCAGGCCCGCGGTTTCTGGGTTAAATCCCCCCCTCCACTCCGGTGGTGAGACGCGTCTCCTCCACTCCGATCCCGACCAGAATCCAGAACCGCCGGCCCGCGGTCGGGTTTTAATGCCCCATCATGGCCGACGCCCCTCCTCTGCACCCCCGCAGGTACCGGACCGACAGACCGCCCCAGAACCGAGCGAGAGAGCCGGGAGCGGGCTGCTGCCTCTGCGCGTGTCCGCTCATCTGTGGGAGGAGGAGGAGGAGGCTGAACGCTCTGGACCCAGACCACAGGTTTAATCAGGAGGAACAGAACTGACCCGTTTTATCAGAACCAGAGTTCTGTTGTCTCCTCAGATAAGCTTTAATCATTTCTTCTTCATCAGAACATCGAGGTTCTAAAACAATCTGAGTTCAAAGATTAGAACCTCGTCTGAGTTTTACTTTTTAAATATTTAAACTTTACATTTCACCAAAAACAACCTCTAACAACAGAGAGCAGCTAGCTTGTAAAAATCTTATTGTTTTTTTCTTTTATCTCATTTTAGCTTCTAGCTAAAGTTTTTTTTCCTATTAGCTCTTTTAGCTACAGCTTTACAATCATTACATCCTTTAGCATGTACAGTTTACCTTCATTTATCAATTAGCTACAGATTTGTTCCTATTAGCTTTTAGCTACAGTTATATTTGTATTAGCTTCTGGTGATAGTTTTGTTGTTATTTGTTTATTTTAGCTGCATCTGCTTTTTGTTCCTGTTAGCACTTTTTAGCTATAGTTTTGCTTCCACCAACTCTATTTAGCTTCTTACTACAGTTGTGTTAGCTTTTAGCTAACATTTTAACTTGATTTAGCTTCAACTAGTTTTGCTCCGTTTAGCTTCTAGCTGCTGTTTTGTCACATTAGCTTCATTAGTTCTTTGCTTTGTTCAGTAGTTTTAACATTTCAGATTTTTTTAAGCTGGTTTTAATCTGATCCAGACTAAAACACTAGAATAAAATATTTTCGGCTGCGTATGAACCTGTTAATCCCGACATGTTTATGTTTCAGATTAAATCAGACCGGGTTCAGAAAAAGACGCAGCAAATCAAAGCGTCTGAGTCCACCTGGCCGAAGCCCAAAGCCCACCCAATCCCCTCAATCTGCGTGTCCATCTCTGTGGATTACAGTCCACATCATAATCCAGGTTGGCCTGAGCCGGGCCCACGTGCTGCCCGCCCCTTGGTGTAATCTGCCCCCTCGGTTCATCAATGACCCAGAGTTTCACAGACGGGTCTGAAGGAAGCAGAGAAACCAGACAGCAGGATGTGGGCGAGAACAGAGATGTCAACGCCGCAACTTCCTGTTCAGACGAGCAGAAGACCTCACTTCCAGTCCAAACCATCATCAGAACCGAGTCAGCAGGAGAAACGAACTCAGCACCACCGAGACAAACTGAATAATCTGATAAGATTAAACAATCAATTAACTTCAATCTGTCCAGATTATTGGAGCCAAACTTTACATCAGATTATGTCACGTCTGTTCCAGATGATTCAAGAAGTGTTTACATGTTTACAGTCAGTGTGGAGCTTCTATTTACTGTATACACACACACACACACACACACACACACACACACACACACACACACACACACACA